TTACAGAGTCAGCCTCTTGCCCCCAACAATCTGGCTCCTCATTTTACAGAAGGACAGAAGGCTGAGTCAACCCTGAGCCTGGTGAGATTCAAACTGCCAGATTTCAGGCAGCCGGCAGTCAGCAGAAGTAGCCTGCAGTACTGCACTCTCACCACTGCGCCACCACAATGTACAGCTGTACAACTGACATTCCAATGTTCCCACTTCTCATTGGCTTTCCTTTCTCCCCAGATATTACCTGCAGCCTCAGTGGGTCTTCGACTCGGTCAACGCCAAGATGCGCCTTCCAGTGGCTGATTACTTCCCTGGCGTAATGCTGCCTCCTCATCTCTCCCCATTTGTCTCGGAGAAGGAAGGCGACTACATGCCCCCAGAGAAGCTGAAACTGTTGGCCTTGCAAAGGGGTGAAGAACCAGGTATCCAGCGGGTCCCGGGTTTCTGGCGAGCCTGGTGCAGTCGGTGGGAGGGCTGAGAATGCCTTTTTGGGGTTCTCGGCAACCTCAACACGGTTTGGGTCTTTTCAGCAGTAAAAGATAGTGAAGAGGACGAGGAAGAGGAGAGCGGCGGAGAGGATGAAGGTGCAACTGAAGGCTCGGAGGAAGAGGAGGAGGAGGAGGATTCTGACAAGGAAGATGAAGGGAAACTACGCAAGATGGAAGCACAGCGATCTCAGAACAAGGTATCCTAAAAGATTATGAAGTCAGAATATTGTAGGGCGTTGATTGAATCCAGTCATAGTAAAAAAAAAAGGTTACAGGTTTTCGGTGCCTTTGTAACTTTGAATGAACTGTCATTCGAGGACTAGCTATGTTTTGCAATTCTTTATGAAATCTGCTTACTGTATGAGAACTGATGTCAATCTCAAGAGTGATCCAGCAAATTGTGTGTTTGTGTGTGTGTGTGTGTTTTAAAGCAGAGTGATGCGGTGGCCTAGAGGTGGAGCTCTGTGAGTTCAATCCTAGGTAGAGGTAGATATTTCTCTCTCTGGGCACTCTGAGAATATATCTGCTGGACAAAACTCTGCATTGGTGACAGGAAGGGCATCTGGCCAGTAAACACTCTGCTAGCTCCACTCTGATGCCCAGACTCCAAGGGATTAGGAGGTCATTAAAAGGAGATGATGATTTAATATTGAAAGCAGGCAAGCCTTTTCTAGCATTGGCTTAGGAAAGTCTTCCTGAACGTTTTGTTCTATCGGTTTCACAGAAACTTTTTATCTTTTGAGTGCACCCTTTCCTCTTGTCTCAGAATCTCCCAGTGAAGGTGACACCTGGCCAGGTGGTGAAGGAGGATAAGGAGCGGCTGATGCAGGAGCAGCAGAGTGAGGAAAAGCGTTTGGCCATCATGATGATGAAGAAGCGAGAGAAATACCTCTACCAAAAAATAATGTTCGGGAAGAAGCGCAAAATTAGAGAGGTATCTTTTATATTTTTATTTTTTTTGCTCTGCTCGGTTTCTTGGGAACGGTGAGAATTAGAAACGAAGGCGAATATACAGTAGTACTTGGGATATAATGTTGCAGAATCCAATCTGGGTTGAGGTTTAATCTTCCGAGCTTTTCGGACACGTGCTGGAGCCCATCTTCTCTGTGAGAATTAAACTTAGCTCTTTTTTTCTTCTTCTTCTTCTTTCTCAGGCAAACAAATTGGCAGAGAAACGAAAAACTCACGATGCGGCAGCAAAATCAGAAAAGAAGAAAAGCAAGAAGGCACGACGGGAATAGAAGAGCCCATCTCGTTTTGGGCTAACATTTCATAAGGCAGCCCCAGAAAGTGGACCTTGGGACCTAAAGCCAGATCTTTTCATGTGGAGATGGACAACATTGGAATTCCTGATTCTTCGGGGTTTTTGCCTGCATCCCCTTTTCTTGAAATCAGAACTAATCAGGAATGGGTCTATAGTACCCTGATTCCTTTTGGGACACTCATTCTATTGAAAAGACGTGTAAATTCTTGGTTCCGTTCAGGTTTTTTTCTTTTATCAAAAACCCAGTGAGACAGATCTTCAGCCTTGGATGGAGAAATGTTATTTTTGAGGAGAGAAAATAATCCTCCTTTGCCCAGGATGCATAAAATAGCAAGCACGTGAACAAGGTTCCTATCTGGAATCAGAAAAATCAATTTGCCGAGGTCTGTTTTCTGAGCGGAGGGTTGTTTTTCTCTTTTCCCCCATTAGTTTTGGCACAGGATAAACGTTTTTTGAATTTCTTGCCTGACCCATTGTTTTAAGAGCCATTCAAGGTAATCTTGCTATATGTGTAAATAAAATCTGGGATAGATTGAGATAGTTTAGCTGGACCTCAATTGTAGGGTGACTTCTAGCCAGCAACGCTCGCTCAGTTCGCAGCCATTGTAGTGTTGTTGGTTTTGCATTTCGGTTGTAAATTACTCCATGGTGAATGAGGAATTAAACTGAACTTTGCAACGAATGTTCAGCTATCACCTGCACCCATCTTTTTTTTTTTTTTCTCCTTTTCTCAACTCAGTTGTGACTCTGGGAGATGTGCAACATAAACACAATAATAAAATGAGCTGAAACAAACAACAGATTGAAAACTAAGAGCTGAAATGTTAAATGGCGATCAAGCACGCAACACAACCACCTCCGTGGAGTCACAGTCAACCAATCCCCATGGCCTGGAGGAAGCACCACGCCTGGAGGGCTTTCCTAAAGAAAAGGAGAAGGGGGGGGCTATTGTATATTGGGGTGGGGGAGATCATTCCAGAAAGCAGAAACAGGCAACTATAAAAAGGGCACACTTCCTAGGGTACCATAAGATGACAAAATGGAAAGAATCTGCAGCATGCCCTATGGGAATGTGTGGGGCAGGCAGATGCTTGTTTGAACATTTATGGGCTGCCCATCTTGCCTCACGGTCACTTGATGTTTTCATGGGGAGGTGTAGGGCTTTAAAGGTAACCATTAACACCTTGAATTGCAGCTGGAAACCTACCAGGAGCCAATGTAATATGCTGGCATAAGGTGCACTCTTTAATTACCTGCAGTGCTGCATGCTGGGGCAATTGAAGCTTCTGTGTGGTTTTCAAGGAGCAATCTTGTACAGGACACTTTGCAATGGAGCAGGAAGCGGCCAAGGCATGCATCCACTTGTCTGAGCCCTGCCTACACTGCAGGGCTGCTGTTAAGAGGCAAAATTAGGACCAACTTTTATACGTGTCACCTTGAATTGTAGAAAAACGGCGGGAAACAAACAGAAGATACCAATAAAATACAGCTTCACCAAAGCAACGGGTTTCATTTAAATTACTTGAATGGGATTAATTCCCATGCAATTATTAATTTAGTTCTTTTGCATTAAGCATACGATGTGACAATTTGGAGGGCCGATGCCATAGTTCTAGAGGGGTTGCATGCCACTCAGGCTGTATATCCCTGCCATAAACCAGCCAAGAAAAGCATGATGCTCTGTGCATAAACTTCCAAACAAGCCCAAACATACAATTTCCCCCACCCCCATTGGATTGCAGCCAAATCTCCATTTCTCTCTCATCAACTCATCTTCCTGCCTGAAATGATACCAAGTATAAGAATTCTGCTTGGGAAGACACACATCCAAGGGTTGAAAACATTCACAAGAATAAAGAGGTATAGCCACTCTTCCTTGTTTCTTTCCTAATACCTTTCCCCTTTTGCATCCATTTTGGCTCTTCTGTGCCCTCATGCCTTGGTTTTTAATGCTTCCAGGCTCAAAAGCACATTACAAGCCTGGCCTTCATTTTTAAATTCTATTTAAACCAAGATTTAAACCACAAGAGCCAAAGTGCTCTATTCACAACAAAACACGGTCCCCTGCAACCCACGATAAAATCCAAAATAAAGGCATCAACCCAAGCCCGGCAGCCGGTGCAACAGGACAATCATCCAAAGAGCAAATTAAAATAACCATGAAGCTACTGAAGCACTAAACCATGGTTTGCTTAGCCGTCGTTTAGGGAGCAGACCGCAGTTAGCTCAGCTCAACCCCAGAGGATGGAGTCCCAGCCAAAACCGAAGTGACTCCATTTTGGGCTTTGCCCCAGCCCATCGAGAGCCATTGGGGTGCCCCATTGGATCCTGATCCACGGATGGGCAGGGGCGCCATGGGGCCAATGGGGAGATGGCTCCCCCAGGCACAAATTGGGAGGGACGTGCGGCCTAGCCATGGCAAGCAGCTGCTTTTTCTTCCAGCCCCAGGCATGCCAGGCCTGGGCACCATCCACGGGGCTGGTTTAGGGGCTGCCCCCTTGAGACCTGCCCCTGGAGGCAGGCCACCCACCAACCCAGGCTCCCCCTTTGGCCTTGGGTGGCTGCGGCTACTCAGCCTCCATCTTGGTAGTGGTCATTCAGGGCAAAAGGTCAAACTGCCCGTCCAGGGTTCCGGCCTCTCCACTGGACCCAGCGCAGCAAGTCAATGGAGGACAGTCCGAGGTGCTGGATTTTGGCTTTTTTTTCTTGTTTCTTTGCTTCAGGTACTTCCAACAGGCCATAGTTCGCCATCTTGGCTAGGCCGCCATGGGGCTGTTCCTCACAGGCC